TGTTCTTCAGTTACCCTGCTCCAACATGTATACAGAGTAGTTCCATGTGGCTGGGGAGATAGCGCAGTAGAATAAGTACTTGCCTGGCAAGCTCAGGGTCCTGAGTTCAATCCTCGTACCGCAAAAAACCCCCAAAAAACAACCAACCAAACAAAAAAAATCCCAAAGTAGTTAAGTGACTTGATCTGGCCTGAATGGTCTTCAGTATGTATGCATATATGAATTTATCTTTTTTTTTTGTGGTCCTGGCGACAGTACCTGGAGCCTCGCGGCAAGTGCTGTGCACTTGAGCCCCATCTCTAGCCCATTGGCACCACCACCCTGCCCCTCCCCACTGATTTGCCCTGTTGCTCAAAGTAGCACAGGCCTTTGAAGAATCCTCATGGTACTTGGAAACACCTGGCTCTGCCAGGTTGTTTGCTGCCTGCCTCCCTCCAGGATTCTTTTCCTGCAGGTTCACTGAGGAAGTGCTAACTGCTAGGTCTGGTGGTTTGTGACCAAAGGGCTTTGGAAGTCTGTGGGTCTGTTTTGCTCATCAGTGATGGGAGCTGCGACTCTTGGCATTTGAATAATAGGGGTCCAGGGTGGGCAGCAGAAATGCTGAATGGCCATGCACATCTGGGATGGTTCCCTTCCACACTTGGTAGTGCCACTGCCCTCTCCTAGTAGCACTGCGTGGGTCAGGGCTTTGGGTGAACAGTTTGATGCAGCCTCTGGTTCTAGCTAACCCTGTCTGGGGTCGTGCAGTCAAGCAGTTGTAATTAGTGGCAGGTCTTTCGGCAGGTCCATGATTTGGTACATATGTTTGTTGTATTTCTTGGGAGAATGAAGTATCTTGCAGCTTGGGCCGCAGCCTCACGTCCTTCTTGCTGCCTGTCTCAAGCCCTATCATGAGCATCCCTGCTGCCAACGCCCAGGGGATGGGGATGGAGACTCCCTGACAGGTCCTTAGTAGCTTTTTGTGCCTCCAGGGTCTGCCAGTGAAGGATGTGGCCTCAAGGGCAGGGCTTATTGCACACACTTCCAGCTCTTGGAGCCATGAGCCTGATGCTGAGAGGATGTGCCCTTAGAGATGGCAGGCGCAGCTGAGGAGCCGCTGGGGGCAGAGTGTGGATGGTCAGGGCTTTGGAGAGCTTTTCATTTGTAGTCTCACTCAGATGGACTGCTGCCTTCTGCTATGAGAACAAAGTGTATTTAGGCAGCTCGTGCCTCAGGCACCAGTGATATTGGTCTGACAGCACTAAGGGAGGCACTGGAGGAGATGCACCATTAGTCATTATTAGTTCTCAGCAATTGCCAGCTGCCACCAGTCAGCACCCAACTGTGCCTGGGTGGTGGGGGTGCCAGGCTGCCTTCTAAGGGAGTCTCTGGAGCCCAACTCTGTCTTGACTGTGAACTGTTCAAACCTTAAGTCCATCTGGAAGAGACATCTGGGAGCTTACTGCAGGGTGAGGAGCCCCTGGAAGACACGGTGGGTGGTCCCTCTTAATGTTGTGGAGATCGAGGAGGACTTCCCTGCCCTGCAAAGTTGGGTTTTGTCTTGCTGAGGGTGAGTGTGAGGTGATTCTTGGCTATGACTGTCTTTTTCTTTTTTTATGTTTTATTTCTTATTTTTTAAAATGTATTTGGTAGAGTCTCACTGTACAGCTAAGACTGTAGTGATTTTCCTGTTTTCAGCCTTCCTAGCACTAGGATTACAGGTGTGCATCACCACATGTGGTCTCGGTGGCCGGGTTAGTGTGCCTGGTGGGGGGCCAGCCAGGTCCTTGCACTTACCTAAGCAAGCGCTTGGTCCGCTGAGCTGTCTTACCAGCCCTTATGACTGTTGTTTTTTGTGACGCCTCAGGCTGGTCCTGGCAGGATCTGGTGAGATCTGAGAATGTGTTGCTTGCCATGGGCAGGTGGTACTGGTTCTCATGGATGCAGGTTCTGTGATGTTTCTTCAAAAATCAGTTCTAGGGCCGGGGAGATAGCTCAGTAGAATAAGCGTTTTCCTGGCGAGCACAAGGCCCTGAGTTCAATCCCCGGTACTGGGGTGAAAAAAAAAAAATCACCAACCAGATAGTTCAGCGGATTAAAGTGCCTGCTTAGGCAGACGCAGGGGTTGGAGTTCAATCCCTGGCCTGCTGTGCTGGCCCTGCCCCCGGGATGCGTTGAGAGGGTGACAGACTGAGCGTGGTGGCATGTGCCTGTAATCCCAGCAGTTAGGAGGCTGAAAACAGGAGGATCACTACGAGTCCGATCTGTGTAGTGAGACCCTGTAGACCCTGTACTAAATACAAAACAGCAAAAATCAGTTCTATAGAGACAAAAGAGAAGTCTGTTTAAGGAAACAAGTGATGTTCTAGGTAGTGTGCAGAGATGGCAGAGCATCTTGAAGGTGGTTTTGACATCACTGAAGCCTGGGGAACGCTGCTCTGGTATTTGCCTGTGGCAATTCCAAGTGTGGGGCCCGCAGTGCCCCGACTTCACCTGGCCAGCCTGGGATTTGTCCTCTGCGCTCTCTCCGTCTTGCCCTTTACTTCCTCTCATTCAGCAAGTATTGTATCCACTGTGTGCTAGGTGTTGTCCTGCTCCTGATGTGGCGAGGTGGTCTCTAGCTTCCTGGTGAGACCTTGAAGATGGAGCCAGGTTTTCTCATTTTTGTGTGGAGACTAAAGTTGATCTCAAAGGAGTGGAAGGTAGAATTGTGCTTACCAGAGCCTGGGAAGAGGGTGTGAGTGTGGGCTGTCAAGAGGATGGTTAACAGGTACAGAGGTGCAGGTGGACAGAAGGAGAATGTTCTGATATCCTGTTACATGATGGAGCAACTTGTTACGCTTGACAGCAGTCGATTGGTTGTTTTGACGTAGCTAGTAGGATTATGTGTGTGGTATAGGTGACTGAACGCAGGGCTTTCTTCATGCTAGGCAAGTGGCCTTCTACTAGGCCACATCCCAGCCCTTTCTATTTTGAGATAGGGTTTTACATAGATGCAGACTAGCCTTGAACTTGAGATCCTCTTGCCTCAACCTCCTGCATACCTGGGATCACAGGCGTGGTCACTTGCCTGGTCTGCAGGTTCCTGGTGATGCTGATGTTGCTGGCCTGCAGACCACATGCTGAGTAGTGAAGTTGTACTGTTCATGTCCTGATAACGGTTTAATAGCAGTGACTTCTAGCTTATGGGCTTCCTTGCAATTGGTCTTGGAGAGGCCAAGTGTCAGGAGATTCACTAGGCAGCAGTGGTGCATTTATAGATGGTCTGGCTGCTTGTCCTCCACACTAGAGGCCTCAGGAGGGCCAGAATGCTTTGGAGTTTGTTTGCACTCAGGCTGCTGGTTGTTGCCACACCCCTAGATGTCATTTCACTTCATCAGCTTGGTAGATTCTGATGTGACCGATTCAGGTCAATGCTTGAACTAGCTTTTGTTCCTTACCTTAGTGACTGTGTAAAAGTCAAGAGTAGGGGGCTCCCCCGTGCACCCACATTGCCTGGAGAGGCCCAGTTCATGGGAACACCAGCTTTCAGAAGGTGGGTGACTTTAATTATTGTACCCAAGCTCAGTTCAGACATCTGAGTGCCCGTGTTGGTGTCAGAGTTCTCCATGTGTCATGTTCTATTTCTGTCCGGGTTTAGCCAGCTGAACACTTATGGTTATGAGTTTTGTGTCAGGACTGAATATTGTGCTTTGAAGCCAAGAGTCAAATACCAATTTAAAATCCTGACTTTTGTACTTGCCTTTGAAATTCAGACGAATGAAGTGGAAGTAACGTAAGAGTTGCAGTGTTGTGATATACTGACAGTCTCTCCTGCAGAGATCTTTAAGGAGTGGTCTTTCTGGCATTTTATAGGAGAAAAGTTAGGTTCTTCTTTAGTTTGCTTTCACTTTCTTTATTTGTTCATTTGCGAGTTCCCATTAAAAACTGGCTCTGGGGGCTGGGGTGTGGCCCTGGGTCCCAAGCCCAGATCTACAAAAGCACATAAAGAACTGAGCCTTTTGGAAACCAGTGGCCTCTTGAAGAGACACTTATTGTAATTTTGAAAATGAAACCCATTCCTTGGATGTGCCTCAGCCTGGCTTGTCCCACTTGTGGTCTGATTTTGCTATTGTCTTTCTCTTTACTTCCTTAGGTACCCTCTGTGTGCCCTGCTGGGCTGCCTGGTGGAGTCTCCTTTCCTGCTGCTTGGTGTGGGGCCAAGTGCGCTGGTGCTCGTGCACCACCTCTCTCCCCCTGGGTCCCCTTCACACTGCCAGGTCTGGTTTGGGTTTCTGAGCAGACCTGGGCTGGCAGCCTGTGGCCTGAGAGGACTCCGAAGCTTTGCAGGCACAGCTCTTTGCCCCCCACCCAGTGGCAGCAGCACTGTTGCTCTCATGCAGTGCACTCCCGGGGGACTCCTGCTGGCCCTGAATCAGCCGCCATAGGATGCAGATCATAAACTCCTCCAGAGCGTGGGCCACACAGATTAATTTTGAGCTTGACACCAGTGTTTATTGGCATCTATGCCTGATTATTTTGATTTTCTATTTATCTACTGGGGAAAATTTAGGGGAAAAAGACAAAAAGAAAAGGATTTCATAGTCTCACTACCTTGAAAAATCAGATCACTGTGATTGGTGTGTTTTGCCATTTCTTGAGGACATAGGTGAATGCAATAGTGATGTCTCACTGTTCTGAAAGATGTCTGGCTTTTCCTTTCCAGACCATCTTTCTAAGGTAATAATTTTCCTAGAACATTTTTTTATACAACCACAGAGCATCTTTCTGTGTGAATGCTCTGTAGTTTTCTGTAGCGAGCCCTTTGCTTTTGGGCATGTGTGTACTGTGTTTTGCCACTTGGTGCAGCATGCAGATGGGTGTCCTCGCAGCTGTCGATGGACTCTGAACATTTCCTCAGCAAATTCCTTACAGCACGCAGAGCCAGGCCGCTTGGCTTTGTGTGTGTGTGTGTGTGTGTGTGTGTGTGTGTGTGTGTGTGTGTGTTTCTGACACATAGTAATACTTTTCTTTCTTTCTAGACACTACAACAACAGGAGTGCAAACTGCTGTATAGCCGAAAAGAGGGCCAGAGGCAAGAAAATAAAAACAAAAACAGATACAAAAATATCCTGCCCTGTAAGTATTGTGGCTTGCCTCAGTCTTTGTCACTGTGCTGGGAGCTGTGTGCTCCTGTTACTGCCTTGATCTTTCAAATTCCAAGCAGTTCTCAAAGTAATCAGCTGTGGGGGGCCTGGCCCTAGCTCAGTCCTTTAAGTGGCTGCTTCCACAAAGCTGTCAGCCTCAGGTTCCTGGAGTTCGAACCTCACAACTCTCCCGCTGGCCAAAAGTGCCCTGAAGGCATTCGAGGAAGAAAAAAAAAAAAAAACAAAAAAACCCCCTTATTTCAAAGTAATCAGCTGTGGTGGGGACTGATGACTTCATTCACTGAGTTTGTTTGTTTGTTTATTTATTTATTTATTTATTTATCTCTTTGAGACAGGGTCTCTCTATGCAATTCAGGCTGGCTATGAGCTGGCTGGCCTTGAACTTGCAAGAATCCTCTTGCCTCAGCCTCCTGAGTGCTGGGATTATAGGTGTGCACCACCATGCCTGGCCTGGAGAGGTTTGTTTTGGCTCGGATTTCAGGGGCCTGGCAGAGGAGAGCAGCTTATAGCATAGTGGACAGGAAGCCAGGGATGGGGAAGGAGGGAAACTCTTCAGGCTACTATCCCCTGTGGGCCTGTGTCTTCCAGCTGGGGCCCAGCTCCTAACAGCAAGCCAGCAGAAGGCTCTGGTAATCCAGTCGCCTCCTGAAGCCCCGCCCTGCCTGTGGGCGCGCGAGGCTCTTGGGTACATTTAAGTACAAACCAAAAGATCATGAATGAGGGCCCCAGAGGAGGGGAAGGAGTGTTTAGAGCTGATAGTTACTTATATCCCACATGGAAAGAAAAATTTTAATCAGCTACATTGATTAATAGCAGTACATATGTAATATATTTAACCAGCTTAAAAAGAAGCCTTGTTGGGCCAGGAATATAGCTCAGCAATATACCACCTGTCCAGCAAGTGCAAATTCTGAGTTTGAGTCCTGGTACCATAAGAAAGTAAGCCTTGTTTAGAGCTATATTATATATGAGTATATGTATATTTCAGTGTTCTGAATATTTATTGAGGTGCACATTCAGATTTGGAGAGTAACACTCCCATGCCTCTTGAGATCTGAGTGACTTTGTCAGTTATTATAGACCCACTGTGCACGCGTGCGCAAAGCACTGACCTTTTCTCTCTTTTTTATTATTATTATTATTTTATTATTTTGATACAGGGTCTCTCCCTGTAGAAACATTTTATTTATTTATTTATTTATTTATTTATGTGGAACCAGGGATTGAACTCAGGCCCTTGCGCTTGCCAGGGAAGCACTTATTCCACTGAGCCATCTCCCCAGCCCCTGACCTTTTCTCTTGCACATGTGTGCACTGTGTCTGGCGGTTGTATATGTTACATCCATGGGGCTCTGGGTGGGAGCGGACGAGGGGGGTAGACACGGACATGTTTCCCATGAAGTGGTTGGAGCTGGGACTCTACCAGTACAACAGTAGTTTCCAGTTTCTAAATATAATACTGCCTTTTCCCCTCTCAATAGTCCAAATCAATGTGTTCTCTGATTCACTTATTTCTTCTTCTGCTTGCAGGGCTAAGGCTTGCGCCCAGGGCCTGGTACATGTAGGCAAGCACTGTACACCTGAGCCCCATTCCCAGCCTACATCCTAACTCTTTAAAGATGCGAACTTCAGGCCTCAAAACATGAATTCTATTACTATTTTTTGTTTTTTGAGGGTTTTGATGTATAGTCCAGGCTGGCCTCACACTCAGGGGTCTTCCTGTCTCAGCCTCACAAGTGCTGGGATTATAGGCCTATGCTACAACACCCATCCATGATTCTCTTAAAAAACATAAACAACTGTATTACTCATTCCCACTGTAAAATATGTTCCCTTAGATATTCCTTCAGATTTTTATGCCCTTAATGTACTACTTTTTTTTTTTTTTTTGAGACAAGGTCTGGCCATGTATTGTAGGCTGGCCTTGAACTTGCTTATGTAGCTTAGGCTGGCCTTGAACTCATGGCAGCCCTGCTGCCTCAGCCTCCTGAGTGCTGCCATAATGTACTTTTGTACAGAATTTGGTTAGTTGATTTTGGGTAGTTGATACTATTAGAATCTTGGTTTTTATATATTGTATTTTATTCTACCTTAGTTTAAAATAGTTTTATTATGGAAAATTGGGAATATATTCAAAAGTGGACCTATACACATCCATCTCTATCACCTAGTTTCAACAGTTATCAGCTCAAGCCTCATCTTGTTTCATTTATGCTTTTGGTTTTCTTCTCCTAGCTCCCAAAATTATTTTGAGGTCTGTCTCAAGCATTGTTTCATTTGTCTGTACTTTGATCTTTTTTTTGAGACAGGGTCTTGTTATGTAGTTGAGGCTGGCCTTGAATTTATGGCGCTTCTCCTGCTTCAGCCTACTGAGTGCTGGGATTTATGTGCCACCACACTCAGCCTCCCCCACCCCCCCAAAGACAGGTTTTGTTATGTATTTTAGACTGGCCTTGAACTCCTGGTGATCTTACTGCTTCAGCCTGTCAAGTGCTGGGATTACAGGTGTGCACCACCACACCTGGTTTACACCTTCTTTTTAAAAACAGAAGCTAAAAGACTTTTTCGTTTAAAGTAATTTTCGACTCCTAAGAAGCTACAAATATAATATAGAGGTGAAGCACAGTGGTGCCCATTATCCCAGTCAGCCAAGACACTGGTGTCAAAATTTACAAGGGGCTAAGGGTATCACTTAGTTGTAGAGCACTTGTGTAGCATATGGGAAGCTCTGGTTCAAACTCTAGTGCTGCCGCCACTACCACCACCACAAATGGTATAGAGGCTTTCACGTACCCAGCCCTCATCCCTTCCCTCCCCGCATGGCATCCTGTAGTTTCACCAAGACAAAGAATTGTGATGAAAGCACTAGGAGGCATCACGTGGTGCTCAAGGAGGAGTTTGGAGACTGGGCTGTGGGAAGGATGAGCCGCGTTGCCCCTCGGCTGCCCAGGTCCTTATGGGGCTGTGCTCTCTCTTCCTTGCAGTTGATCACACCAGGGTCGTCCTCCACGATGGTGACCCTAACGAGCCTGTGTCTGACTACATCAACGCCAACATCATAATGGTAAGCTCGCTTCTCCTCAGTATATCCTGGCCGCACGCTACTAGCTTCATTTGTGTTTTAAATCCTTTCATTCTGAACGCAACTTGCAGATACCTGAAGGATTTTATTCCTAAATTTTTAGCCTGAATTTGAAACCAAGTGCAACAATTCAAAGCCCAAAAAGAGCTACATTGCCACACAAGGATGCCTGCAAAATACAGTAAACGACTTTTGGCGAATGGTGTTCCAGGAGAACTCTCGAGTAATTGTCATGACGACGAAAGAAGTGGAGCGAGGAAAGGTACTCAGGCTCGTCTTTTCTGATAAAAGTTCTTTCTTTCAGCATGCCAGGGATGGAACCCAGGGCCTTAAGTTGCCAAGTAAGTGCTTTATCACTGAGCTGCAGCCCCAACCCCTGAGAAAATATTTTTAAAGTGTTGTGCATGTCAGGTGGGCCTTGTTATAAATGGAGTGAGCAAAGCCAGGTGTGGTGGCATAGCTTTGTGACGCCAGCACTCAGGAGGTGGAGGCAGGAGGATGGCTGTAAGTTCAAGGCTAGTATGGCATACACAGGGTAACTGTGTCTTACAAAAAGAGAGAAAAGGAAAAAAGAAATGAAACAAATTAATCTCACTTTTACTGACCCTGGAAAAAGGGAATAGAAGAAATTGATTAAGATGCGTCTTGGTGTAGTTTCCCCTATAGTCTTTTGCTGGGACTCCTGTTGCTGACTTATAGTTTTCTTCAATTTGGTTATTGTTCACCTTTAATTCTTTAAACCTGTGCCCCGTCCCACACTGTCCCAGGACACCTCTATCCTATAGCCTCTGAGGCTGTGCTTACCTGACTTTGTTCTCTTCTCCCCCCTCTGTGATCCACTTTGAATAATCTTTTCTGCCATGTTTTGGTTGATCGTTTTTGTGCAGTGTTTAATCTGCTCTTAGTTTTCTTACTGTGCTTTTCCTAGCAGTCGTTAGGGTTTCCTCACTGAATATTTTACTTGGGTCTCTTCATTATCTTCCGTGACGTTTTCTTTTAACATGCGTACCACGTCCTCTGCCCTTGGAGCAGACGGACTGTGTTTATGACTGTGGTTAGTGTTAGTGTGTTTGTCTACTAATTCTGTTGTTGATGTTGCTTGGTGTTTGCAGTGTTTTAGGTAGGGTAGGAGGGTGAATCTGCACCCTCTCACTGCATCCTATCCAGAAACAGAGAGGGAGGGAGAAGAGGTCAGCTGGTCCCGTGGGGGTGATGAGAGTGCTAAGAAATGACAGCGGTTTCCCTGTTCGTGTAACCTGTACTGCTCCTGACTTGGAAACATTAAGAAATAATTTGAATTACTCAAACAGTGCATTCAGGCATGTTGTACTTAAGGTTAAAGCTTCCCTTGGTGCCCTCCACGCCCCCCAAAAGAGCCCACTTCCCAGCTTGCTGTGTGTACTTCTGCAGTGTCGCTTTGGCACTTGTACACATATGCACCTTAAGCACAGAATGCTGTTTTGTTTCTTTCTTATTTTGGGCACTGAGTAAGGGACCCAGGCCTTGCACATGCTAAGCACGTGCTGTGCCACTGAGCTGCACCCCAGCTGCGCACTGCTCCCCGCTGACCAGTGCTCCCGTACAGTAACTTCATTGTGCATCTTGGTTGTGCTCTTCCCCATTGAGTGCGTGCTCGGCTCCCTCCCTTAGTGCATGTTGGCTGGTCTCAGGCTTTCCAGCACCTGTGTGTGTTCCCTGGTGTGGCGGTGTCATAATTTATTTAACTGTCATGCTGTAGATGTTCAGTATCCCAGTTTGTGCTCTTATATCCAGTGCTGAAGTAAACGCCCTTGGGCTTCCCTTCACATGCTGTAGATGTCAGGAAGAGGGACTGTGTACTGTAGGATGCGCATGCTGCAAATGTCAGTAAGCTGCCTGTTGTCCCCTTCAGTGCTTGGCCCAGTGCACTCACCACAGCGTAACCTAGAACCCATGTCCCATACTCTTCACCATGCTCCAGGTTCTTGGAAGTCCCACACTGTGGGAAAGCAGACAGACCTTACCTCTTTTTTGTCCCAGAGTGAGCCCAGCCCCCAGCATGGGGTGTTACTATGCCAGAAGTCCTGTTTTTTGGTTGTATTCTAGTCAGAGCTCTGTTCCAGATGTGCTTTAGTTAGTTTTGGAACTGAGTGGCTTAACTGACACCTAGCAGGTGAGTCAGGTAGGCAGGGGGTGTGGGACTTGAAGCCTCCTACTATGACTTGCACGGCGGGTGTGAAGGGCAGTGTGACCTCGTAGGATTTTCATGGTTGTTCTTCTGGTTGTTGCTTTTCTGGGCCATGTAAGGCCCAATCTGGGTGCTGTGAAACAGAGGCCTCCTCCAGCTGCAGTTACCTTAGGTGGGTTTGAATTAATGGCCTGCCTGCAGCGTCTTCACGCTTTCTGCTTTAGGTGAGAGTTTGCTGCCCTAAATACTGAAAGGGAGCTGAAGTCTCTTGTCTTGCTTCTTGCTTGGATGGAAGCAGATGAGGATGCCCATTTTTAAAGTGCTTGGGGCTGGGATAGAGGGGTCTTATGTTCCTGCTCAGGTGAAAATACTAGTCCCTTTCCAAAGAGCTGCTAGAAACTTCTAGAACAGATGGAGCCCGGGCCAGATTGCCCTGCCACAGCCCTCACCACCTTGTCCCATCTCTTTCCACATTTGTCCTTCTCATTTTGGGGGTATAGAGAGGTGGCTCACTGGGCGAGGGCTTTTCTCTGCAGGCCTTTCAGTGAGCCAGAACACAGAAGGAAAGCCAGCTGAGGACAGCCTTCAATCCCGGTGCTTTAATGTGAAAGATGATGGATTAGCCCTCACATTTAGGGTTGCTTTGCCATGGTTTCCACAAAAGAGTGGAAAATCAGGAGGTGGGCTGCAGCAGCCTGCAGATATGTAGTCAGCGAAACTGTTCTTTCCAATGGCATGATTTGATTTTGTGTTCCTCTGTAGTGACCGGAACAATCCTTCTAACTGATTGGCCAGTAGAGTATTGATTATAGCCAGTATTAGAAAGGCATATTTGGGGAAAATGTAAATTGTGTCAGATCTTTTGAAAGGTTTTTAGGCCTACCAAATACTGGAGGCAAAGTGAAATTCAGGGTATTTTAATAAAGAGACCACAGCCTTTGGTAGACGTCCTGCTACCTTGTTTGTTTTCTTTCACTGAATCACTGACCATGGACGTCTGCAGCTCTGCTCTTACTGCTGGTTGTATAACTGTCTTCCTAATATACAAGGTGAATTTCTTTTGCACATAATTGTATTTTGGTAAATATACATTTCTTTGGGAAAGTGACACAAAACAGCATATTCTGCCCAGGACATGTCACCAAATAGATACAATCTCATTTGTCATTTAACAAAACAGCTTCATTTTTGGCAGTAGGCACAGTTTCCTTGGTGCCGTATTTTCCAATCTGCTACCTATTGTTGAAAGCAGCAGCTCTCTCAGACTTGACATTGCCAGTTCAGGGGAGGTGGCACGTGTAGTGGCTATTGGGTGGATCTGGATGTAGAAGAAGCAGGTGGCACAGAAGCCCTAGCTGCCTTTCCGTGATGGAGTTACCCACACGTGGGTTAGATAAGGCCCAGAGTCCGCCTACACGGGTGCGGAAGGGAACCAGACGGTTTGGCTCGTTGGGCAGTCCCCCCACACCCAGGGTCCTTGCCCATCTTTGCTGCAGCGTGACTGGTAGATCTCTAGAGTGCAGAGCTTGGGAGTTGCTACACAGCACTTGACTTAGTCCTTCCATTTTTATACCCTTTCTTTTGGGTTAGGGATAGCACTGGGGATTGAAACCCAGCACCTTTACATTAAGCTAAACCCCTGGCCCATTTTTAAACTTTTGAAACAGGGTCTCACTAAGGTGCCCAGACTGAGCTCAGACTTGCAGTCCTCATACCTCAGCCTCCCAGAATTCTGGGATCGCAGGTGTTCAACCACCGTGCCTGGCTGAATCTTTTATCTTAGAGCTAAATAAATAAGCATTGATTCTCCTTTGACTTGGGGCTTGGAGCAGACCATTCTGCCACAACTCCTTTCCTCTTTCCTGTCTGGTTCTATGAACACCAATTTTCTTTCCTTTTGTGTGGACCTAATGTGACAGGCAGGGCATTGTCCATGGTGGTGCTCATTAAGCAAGATTTGAGCTCTTGTTTACTGCTGGATCAACTTTTATTCAGCGTCTGTAGAGATTAACTATCTGTCCTCTGATCCTCCCTTCCAGAGCAAATGTGTCAAGTACTGGCCGGATGAGTATGCTCTCAAAGAGTATGGGGTCATGCGTGTCAGGAATGTCAAAGAGAGCGCTGCTCATGACTACACACTAAGAGAACTTAAACTCTCGAAGGTTGGACAAGTAAGTATATTGTCGTATCTTATAGACTTTGGTGACTGCCTAGGTGTGTGGCCACCCAGGGTCCTCACCACTCCTGTTGGCATGCATCACATAAGCATTGTTGATTCTGTAGTCACTTACTGGGTGCCTTTTACATGCCAGCTACAGTTCAGGCTGCTGATACACTATGAATGTGACAAGTACTGTTCCTTCCCTCATAAGGCCCCAGCAGGTACCAGCTCTAAAAGTACTACCAATAAAGCTTTTGGATCATGCTAGGCTTATGAAGGCTCTCCAGGATGGTATGTGTGAAAGGAATGGTATATCTGAGATGGAATGAAAAGGAAGAGACTTTCTCAGCATGGGGTTAGTCAAGCCAAAACCTAACTTGGGGGATCTAGGCATCTAGAGAGTCAGAAGAGCAGGCTCCATATGGAGAGGGCAGAAGTGCAGAGGTCCTGAGGTCTCTTGGTGATGAAATCCCATATATCGGTTCTTCATTGCAGGTGGTCTCGGCCCGACCTGTGTATCAGACCAGTAGTAATTTTACAGAACAAGACAGTCGGATTTGTATTCATTTTGATTTGTTTAGAGGAATGTACTTGCTTAAAGTCTTGTGGGGATGCAGAGGTGAAGGAGACCGGATGGTTTCCTTGTGGAATCCTGTTCACATAGCAGCAAGAAGACGAGTGAGCAAGCAGTTGTGCTGCAGACCAGACACAGGCTACAGAGCCCACCCGAAGTGTCCTGACACTCCAGAGGCCGGGCTTCCTCTGGCTGGAGCATCGTGCGAGGAAGAGTTAGGCCTTTGGGGTGGGCTTTCAGCAGAGGATATGGTGAGGAGCAGGCCTCCAAGGAGATATTTAGCTACGTGACTGAAGTGGGGACTGCAGGAAAATGGGATTTGGGGAACAAAGGTGACCAGGTTGAGGAGATACACTTGGGTAGAGAGAGTTTGGAAGAGTCTTCCCTGCATGCCAAGAAACTTGGCCTTTACCAGTCGTCAGTCCACTCAGGACCGGTGCTAGTCCTTGTGTCAGGTAAGCAGGTGCAGAGCAGCAGGCTGGAAGCCATGGTGACTGGGAGTTGGGGAGCCTGGGGTCTGGGGGGCGCCCCTGTGGTGGTCTTGGTTGGTTGCCTTCTCCTCGCATATCTAGAATCTTCACCAGTTGTTAGTTAGTTTGATTGATTGATTGTTTACATGTCAGACAGGTGATGTGCCCACATTGTAACAAGGTTTGAGGGAGGCACATTTCATGCATAAGGCATGAACTCCCAGTCATCAGGCTTGTGAACCAAAGGATCAGCTGTTCTTTTTAGTTGCACCTCAGTTCTTCTGTTACAAGTGGATGTTATGTAAAATGCCAGTGAGCGTAGGAGAAGCAGTGGATGTGAGAGATGCCTGGGGAGAAGGCTGCAGGGAGCAGAGGCATCCAGCATGTCTGGGGGCTTGAGTCTGAGTGGGACATGGTGCTGGGACAGCGGGCAGAAAAGCTGACTGGAGTGCTAATGTGTGGGCTATGGTTCATTTTGTTGTGGATGCTTTAAACTAAGCCTCTGAGCAGAGATGTCCACCAGACATTTGGACATTCATTCGTTGGTTGGCTCATTCATGCATTCACTCACTCACTCATTCACTCACTCACTCACTCTAGTCCTTGAGTGACCTTACAGTGTAGCCCAGCCTGGCCTTGAACCTACTATCCCTCTGCCTCAGCTTCCTGGATGTTGGGATCACAGCAGCATGGTGACTTTAAGCCTGGCTAGGCTGAGCTTTTAAAAGTGTGTCTGTGCTCTGTAGGATTGGAGGGGACAGGAGTGCTGCATCTAGTGGGCCCGGGGTTAGGACCAAGGAGGAGCTGTGGTGGGGGATGGTACCGGTGACAGCGCTTGACTAGGGCAATGGCAGTGGCAATAGTAGGGGCTGGAAGTGAGAGGAGTGGCTGGAGGAGATGGTGGAGGAGAATGTGGAGGGAGTTGAAGGGGGACAGGATCCAGGGCGTCCTGGTTGGGTTGGCTTTGATCATCATGGGGATGTTTCTTCTGTGGTAACAGGAGAGCGGGAGGAACGGGTGTCTCCAGATGCGACAGTACCAGTGAGCTGAGATTTATTGTCTTCAGCCTGAGATGTGATGCACGACCATCACTTGGGAGTCTGAGGGGCTCAGAAGAAATGGAATATTTGAACTTGGGGAAAGGTAGAGTAATTGTGCAGGGGCCAGGGAGATGGCTCAGTAGAATAAGTGCTTGAGGCCTGAGTTCAATCCCTGGTTCCACCAAAAAAAAAAAGTAATTGCGCAAAGATGGCAGGCAGGCAATCCAGAAGTTTCTGGAAAGTGCTGGTGCTGAGTAGAAGTGGGGGTGTGCACGTTTAGACCCCCATCACCTGGCCTTTGGGCTTGGTGCAGATAGGAGGTGCCTTATCCAGTCCTGGAGCATGGTGCAGTGGCACAGTGCTGTGGAGAAGCCTGCGGCTCTGGAGGCCTGTGGCAGAGAGCAGCTGTCACCGTGGTCTGTGGAGTCCTAACTGGATCAGGAGAGGACAGGTAGAAAGCAGTGGTTCAGCAACCTGGTGGCTCCTGGAGGCGATCCGGAAGCTGTTTGGCTGTTTGGGGTGCTGGTAGGGCTGTTTGCATTCATTAGGTCAGAGTGGGCACAGGTCTCCCAACACTGGCAAGGGTGTGAAGGTCCAATCTGTCTCAGAAGTGGGAGAGGGGCTGGAAGAGAGTGGCTGTCAAATAGAAATGAAAGGTTTCAGGGATGCTGGGCCTCAACCTAGGTAGGCTTCACGTCTCACTGATGGGTGTGCCTGGGGAGTGGTAGCTTCTGTCAGCATTGGTGATGGTCTTGCCTCATCTCCAGGTGCTCCTGAGAAGCAGGGGCTGGGACATGTCACATGGACTTGTGTTTTTTTGTTTTTTTTGAACTAAAAAAAAGACTTTATTGAGGGCAAGAGGATGCAAATACAAAAATCAAAAGCTTGGGGGCCTGGCCCTAGCTCAGTCCTTTAAGTGGCTGCTTCCACAAAGCTGTCAGCCTCAGGTTGCTGGAGTTCGAACCTCACAACTCTCCTGCTTGCCAAAAGTGCCCTGAAGGCATTCGAGGAACCAAAAAAAAAAACCCAAAAATCAAAAGCTTATGTAGCATTTAATGAACCTTCCACCCTCTGTCCAGTGAGAGCTGGATGTTATTTGTACATTTTCTAAGGGTCCTGATCTGCTCATGACATCTTTATACAAGGGGCAACCGAGGGGCAGATTCCTTAAACGGCCCTTTGGGAGAACTCTCATCAGGGCAGGAGTAAATGTTCACGCTGCCTACTTCTTTCCCTTCTGCTTCATGTGTACTACAAAGTAATCATTGCACGCAATGGTAAGGCCTGCAATTAGTGAAAAGAAGCTCTGGAAGCCCACTTTGCCATCTCGGCACTGGTCCAGGTCCTTCATGATTTTGTCCAAAGCCAGAGGGTCTTTTTGATTTTCCAAAAATCCAGGGAACTCCTTTTCCATGAGTACTCTCAGGTCCTCCTTTGTTAAGTAGCACTTGTCCCCAGCAAATTTGTGAAATGTAAACATCATGGTTTCCATGGCGTGTTCCATTTGGGAGGGCATGTGACTGTTGAACCTTAGCGTGGAGGCGCAGCAGATGAGGGGAGCGGGGGCGCGGCGGTGGTGAGGAGCGCACCCGGGCTGCGCGCCTTTGTACGTGGGGCGGCAGGCTCTGGACTTGTGTTTTGCACCCTGCCATGGATGCTGATGTGAGGGCCAGCCTGCTCCTGCTTTGGTGTAGCACTTGTCATTTGTTTGCGGGTGCTGTCCTGTGAGCTCATGGAGCTGCCGCGCTGGCTGCCCAGGAGGGTGGAGCAAGGGCAGAGCCTCACTGGCCATGTACTGAGGATGAGGGTGTGTGGTGCAGTAAGCTTGGGGCCAGTCTCACATTCCCTGGCTGGCCCTGTGTGACCTATGTAGCACTCCACTTTTAGGTCACTTTAACATGAAGGCATTTTTTTTTTCCTCCATGGCATCAGCAAATTAAATGCATACAATTTATGGAATGATCTTAATTGTGGCTCAGATTTCTTGAATGTACTGAAGTTCACTGGTGGTGAACACTGGTCTAGTCAGTAGTTTTCTGTCCTTAAAAAAAAAAATGTCTTTTAAAAATGTCACTTAAATGTATACAGTGTGTTAATTATTGAAACTGTCCTACCGATTTGATTTGAAACTGTCTCACTGCTATTTATCAATAAAACTATGGCAAAAAAAAAATGTCACTTAACTTCTTGGATTGTCTCTACATACTTAGGAAGAAGCTATAGCAATGGCTAGTGCTGTTCCCATGACCTGCTTTGGATACACCCTGGATCATGATGCTTTTTGGTTCTCTGTAGTCTGGGTCCTTATTAAGTATCACTGTTCTCCAAATAGTTACGGTGTCCATGGTCTCTTATGTCTGTTGCGTTTCAGAACTCTGTGTGTGTGTGTGTGTGTGTGTGTGAGAGAGAGAGAGAGAGAGACAGAGAGAGAGAGAGAGAGACAGAGAGAGACAGAGAGAGACAGAGATCACTCTTAGCATGTTGCAAATAGAGTGTGGCTTCAAGTTGTGCCCCAGTGCATGTGCCCAGGGTTGGAGCCCAGATCTCATTACCTGACTTGGAGAGCTTGTCTTCTTACCCACTGGGCACCAGACAAATTTAAGATACAGCAATGCTGTAATAGGTACATATGTGTGTACCTGCTGGGGGTTGGATTTAAAGATGATAGAGGGGAACAGATGCCTTGGAATACCTGCTACCTCAGCGGGATCTGAGTCCTTGGGGACCTCCACTGCCTCTGGAGCTGAGTACCCCCTGGCTGAGGAGGGAGAGGTCATCGCCTGCACTGGTGTTCCAAGAGGTGTCTGGGTCTGTGGTTCCCCAGAGCAGACTGCCTTGCCAGGCATCCTATTTCTCAGGACCAGCAGGGTACCCTGTTGGGCCCCATGGAAGCAACGCGCTAGAAAAGCGATGAGAAGGGCCTTTAGGTGGTGCGCAGGGAGATTCTGGGCCCCTGGTGACGCAGCATCTAGCACAGCTTGGAGCCAGGTGATCCCTTGACCCTTGATTTATTTAATTCTGTTCTGGTTTTTCTTGGCTCTACTCCAGGGGAATACGGAGAGAACCGTCTGGCAATACCACTTTCGGACCTGGCCGGACCACGGGGTGCCCAGCGACCCTGGGGGTGTGCTGGACTTCCTGGAGGAGGTCCACCACAAGCAGGAGAGCATCATGGATGCGGGCCCAGTTGTGGTGCACTGCAGGTGACAGTCGCCGCCTGCCCTGCTCCCCGAGCTTGTTTTTACCTACCTGTCCCAGCTCTTTAAGTGTAGGAAAGCGTTACGGTCTATTTGAGGTGTGGATTAGCTACATTCAGGGATATTTGGACCCCAAAGTATATTTCTCATGTGCCCTATAGGACTGTTGGGTTTTGAGGGTGGGGAGTGGGTTGGTGGGGACTCAGTCTTAGTTTTCAAGGGTCCCTCAGTGTAACTAGTTTTGTGTATTTCTTTGTAAGTTCTTGTAAGTTAATTAATTAATTAATTTGGTGCAGGGTCTCACTGCACAGCTTGGACTCGTAGTGATCCTCCTGTCTCAGCCTACCAGTGCTGGGGTTACAGGTGTGCGCCACCACACCCAGTTTCAGTGCAGAGCTGGCATTGCATGCAGAAATGGGGATCGAACCCAGGTCCTTGCATTTGCCAGGCAGGTGCTTAGACTGCCAAGCTATCTTCCCGGCCCGAGCGTTTCTTTTTAGTAAGTAATTTAGGATTCATGTCGTTGACTGTGGGTCTGTTCTCTTCTATCATGGAAATAAGATATAATCTTTCTCCTGGTGCCACTTTTGTTTGCTTTATGAAATTTTGACCACTTCTTACTTGGGCTTTTGATAGAAGGCATGTGTGGCCTCTATAGTTTGTGGCTACTAGTGACCCAGTTTTGACTTCCTGATTATGTGGGCAAAATCTGATATCTTCAATCTCATGTTGGGCAAGTACATGCATATGAAACTTGCTTGTTTTGTTTTGTGGTACCGGGGATTGAACTCAGGACCCTGCACATGCCAGGCAAGTGCTTATTCTACTGAACTATCTCCCTGGGCCCCAATTTTTTTTTTTTAAGCTACCATTTTTTGAGCCCCTGTAGGTATCATCTTCTAAGCTCAGTGTTTTTCCTTCATTATTCATGTTTGAACCTTACAACTCTAGGGTGTATACCTGTGTCTCCACTTCACAGATGAGGAGACAGTGAGAGGTGAAGGGACTTGCCTCAGGCACATTGTGTGGAGAGGGCTGGGGTCCAGGTATAGGCAGGGCTGACTCCAAAGCCCTGTGGTCTTTGCAAATATATTTGCAGAGAAAGAGACCATCTGAGGAATTCTCCCAGGAGTAGACATTGTTTCTGTGAATATTAATACCTTGCTTTTGTGTACAAGACCCTAACGAATGACTCCACTGTCCCTGCCTTTTGTCCTGCTCACAGTGCTGGGATTGGCCGGACAGGAACATTTATCGTGATTGATATCCTCATTGACATCATCAGAGAGAAAGGTAGGTTTCTGAAGGGCACAAAACCACGGTTCCTATTTGTAGTTTCAGGAAAGATAGGGCCAGGGAAAATAACCAAGGAAGAGAATTCGCATGTGAAAGGATTTTTCTTTTTTCTTTTCTTCTTTTTTTTTCGCGGAACCGGGGATTGAACTCAGGCCCTTGCGCTTGCCATCCAAGCACTTATTCTACTGAGCCATCTCCCCAGGCCCCTTGATTTTTAACAGTCTGGGCCACAGAGCCCACTTTCCCATTGCCCAAGAACAGAGGTAATGCTATTTGAACTTCTGGCACAAAGTGGAACCCAGGAGGTAGGGGCCCTCTTGGGGCCTTGTGATATCTCTGGGTTTCTTCTGACCACTTAGTCTTTTCTTCAGCATGGGATGGTTCCTTTGGGAAGAGGGCGATCCCGAGCTCCTGACTGTCATATGTTGCAGCATCACTGGCCTGCTCAAAAGTCCAGCTCTGTGGCCCTTGGTGCTAGAGCAGTTGTGGTCAGATCTGCTGCTAAGGTGCAGGAGCTATGCATTGAACAGCTTCGCCTGGCTCTGCGGTGTCTCCTGCTGCCTCATGGTGTTTGCTTTGCAGGTGTTGACTGTGACATTGATGTGCCCAAGACCATTCAAATGGTGCGGTCTCAGAGGTCAGGGATGGTGCAGACAGAAGCACAGTACCGGTTTATCTACATGGCTGTCCAGCATTACATCGAAACACTACAGCGCAGGATTGAAGAAGAGCAGGTACAGAACTGGCGGGGCCAGCCCATATCTCCTTTAGGTTTTAAATTGATGGCTGTCTATTTGAGAGTGGGAAACCGATTGCCAGAGAAAGAGGCCTCTCAGGGAAATATTTCTGCTTGGCAGTTCTGGATTTTCAGTCCAGAGGTGTTTAGGGAAAGCACCGTGCCATTGTCCTGGCCTGACAGCTTGAGGCTTTGCCCTGTAGAATGATTATGACTTTCCTGAGCTTGCATGGGAAGCTTAGAACTGTTGGAGAGCCGTGAGGTTTCTACCCTGCTCCAGTTTTGATCCAGGCCATGTTTATCCTGATTCCCTCTCTTAAAATGAAGCCTCACTCTCAATAGCACATGGCAATTTGAGCCACTAATTTGGTTGAGTTGAAAATGGTGAAATTTCAGTTTTAATAAGCTGTGCATAATGAATGTGGAATTGGAGCCTTTCCATTTGAAGCTATTCATAACAGACACAAAGTTGAGTTAATTAGGAATATGCCAAGCCGAGGGAGATAAGGACTGCTCTTTTGGGGAGCTGCACTTTTCCCCCTACCATCCTATCAAGCCTTCTCAGTGGGGTAGTAGCTACACAGCAGTAGTATTGGTCTGTTTTTCCCTATGTGTGACCTTCCAGAGAACTCTGTTTCTCAAAAAAGGAACTGCCACCTAACTGCATGATTTGTAGCCTAGACAGGGTCACTGAGTCACTAAATTGCCCAGGCTAGGCTTACACTTTTGATCCTGCTTCCTCTCATGACAGTATTGAAATTACAGGCATGTGCTGTCATGCATGGCTTTTATTGCTTTAAATCAGAATTTGGCTTATTACTATTACTTTTTAAAAAAATTATAAACCCAGGACCTTGTATGTTCTAGGCAGGTAGTCTGCCACTGAGCTACATTCCCAGCCCTCTAAATTTGTATTATATTATTAAAATTCTTTTTGATATTATTTTAAGTTCTATGAAAGAGAAGTTTTTTTTTTTGTTTGTTTGTTTTTTTTTTTTTTTTTTTTTTTTTTTTTTT